TGTCCTAGAATCTAGGTCGTTAGTGTACGGTCCTCGTCAGTCTCCTCGTCATCACCAGGTACGCTTCCGAGTTCTGGAGGTTCGATCATGAATGTCTTACATTGCTTATGATTGAGATATTATTATTGACTGATTCTAGATAGGTCGGTGTGTTTCTTGGATTCATCATGTAGACCTTGCTGGAATTTTACACTTGTGTTACGCCCCGGTTAGTGTGTTATTGACCTTGGTGCTCTGTTCTCTGTTCCTTTAGACAATGGCTTTTCGACGGAACACGAGGGCTCGCAACTACGAGGATCCGAACCCTAGGGGTGAGGAGGCAGCGGATCCAAATGTTCCCCTGGCAGTTCCTGAAGGGGTAGCACCCCCGGTTCCGCAGGCAGCACCTCAGGGAGTTCCCCAGGTGAATCCCCAGGTGGCGTTACTAGCTGAGGTATTGCAAGTATTGCTGAATAATGCGAATGGAGCTGGTGGGGCTCAGGCGCAGCAGCCACGCCGGGCACAGATTCAACAAGAGGAGGTCCAGTTCATCAGAGATTTCAAACGCTTCGGACCACCCGTTTTCAACGTGTGAGTGAGAGGCCTACTGCGTCTGAGGAATGGATCAGGGAGTTGGAAGCCCTTTATGTGTATTTGGGGTGCTCCGATGAATTCAAGGTCCGGGGAGCAGTGTTTATGCTTCGGGGAAAAGCAGTAAACTGGTGGGAGTCGGTGGCGGCAGCGGAGGATCACGCCAACGCACCCGTCACATGGGCGAGGTTTAAGGACCTACTCTATGAGTATTATTTCCCCGTGACTGTCAGGAACGAAAAACGGGCAGAGTTTCTCCGTCTCACTCAAGGGAGCCTAACTGTGGCCCAATACGAGAGGAAGTTCACTGAGCTGTCCCGTTTTAGAATGCAATATATTCCTACTGAACAATTAAAGATTGACAAGTTCGTTGACGGTTTGCGTAGGGAGATCAAGGGGCTACTTGTTCTCAAGGAACCAACTACTTATGCAGCAGCAGTCAGGTGCACGTTGGTTATGGACAAATGTCTCGAGGAACCTCACTCTCAACAGGTGACGGGCTCCAGCTCGGGGGTCAAGAGAAAATTTGCATCGTTCTCCTCCAATCAATCCTCGAGGGGACACCAGCAGCTTGTGCAAAGGCAGACTGCTTCTCCGGTGTGCCCCACTTGTAAGAGGAGCCATGCTGGGCTTGAGATTAATGATAAGCATCCTGTACATTTTAGATCGGTAGTCCTAGTCATCATTTGAATTGGTTAAATGTTGTTGCTGCTGCTTGGTGAATTGAATTGAGATGTGTGGATTTAGAAGACATGAAAGCAGTTTGGTTTGTCTTGTCTTGGGCATAGAATGGTTTTGTCTTGTTTTGGGCATAGAATTTAACCAAAGTCGACAAAAGGGTGAAGCCGAATGGAATGACAATTGACATATTTTAAAATTCTAATTCCACACGCCATTCACCCTCTTTTAGTCTCTACTTTCTTGTCTTCTCAATTCTATTGTGCACTTTGCTACTCCCATCAATAATAATACTACTTTCAGATCTATATTCACTCACCCTTCAAACTGACCCAAATCAGCGTGCAGATGAGCTTCCATCTGATCATTGAAAAAAATAAACAAATAAGATCAAAGACCCGAATCAGATCTTTTTTTTCTTTTTTTTTTGCAGCATTTTCTACAGACATTTGAGAGTTAAAATAATAATAATAAAAACAAACACTTTTTCTTTTGTGGGTGAGTGTAGAGTACAGGCAGGTGGGGTCCATCTATATTTCCGTTGTAACCTTCCATGTTTACTAGCTACCACTTTACACACSCCACCTTATCAACCATTTGTTTCTTAATCATTCATGTTTTACTTCTTAAGAACCTGACAAAGTACACAAGCTTAACCATTGTTTTTTTTCTTTTTGTAGATTAAACTTTCATAAATTTAGTCATGGATAAGTCGTGGATGACAAAAAATAGAATGTCAACCGAGTATAGTTTAGGGGTTGAGATGTTTATTGAAAATGGATTACGACGTTCAAAAAGATCAAATGTCATTTGTTGTCCATGTTTAAAGTGTGTGAATSCAAAGTCTCAAAATGTGAATGTAGTAAGAGATCACTTATTTGTTTATGGTATCGATCAAAGCTATAAGACATGGATTTGACATGGTGAATCACTATCGATTAAGAGAAACATTGAAAGTATGTCTGATAGTGTACAAGAAGAAGTTGAGGATGACGATTTTGATGACACAATAGGGATGTTTGAGACTGCATATGATTACTTTGATGAAAATCCACAAAATTTCGAGGAGCTATTGGGTGATGCGAAGAAATCATTATATTCAGATTGTAAGAACTTTACCAAAATATCTGCATTGTTGAAGTTATATAATTTGAAGAAACCATTAGGTGAGTTTGTTTCACCATCCCTATATTTTAATGTTGCCAAAAGAAAGTCAAATTTGGGATTGCAACCTCAAGACCAAGCCGAATTGAAGACTCAGAGCTCACAACCAAAAAAATCCACAACTAAAGTTAGTAATGTCTCAAAGAAAAATGAGAAAGGGAAGGAARTTGTCAATGCACCTACTAAAGTTTTTATCCCAAACGAACAACCAACAATGGTAACTAATTTGTTTTAGTTTTGTCACTTACTATTTTTGGGCACGACACTTGTCTTTTTTGTGCATAACATTTAACATTTTGCTTTTAAATTTTCTAAGGGAAAACTGTCTCATCTGGCTATTGGATTGGTGGAGAACATTGTTGTAGTTGGCACAGTATTTGATAATGACGTTCAAAGTCCAACAATTCATGGAGTGCCATTAGGTGTGCACAATGTCAGAGTGATGGTAGACATTGTCATGGGCAAAGATGCTATGATACCAATTCTTTTGAAGGGTGAGATAGARACATTAAATCAAACCATTGGTAGCTTTGTGGCATATGGCCTCGTCGAYTAGTAATTTTAAATGAGGAGAAAAATGTATGTCTTGTTCTAACTTGAGTGAAGTTTTAACTTTTCGTTTGTTAAATGTTGTTTGTAATTTTGTTTGTCAAATGTTCCTTCTCCTCGAACATCCAAGCCAAGAACACAATCATCTGAACATATTGATGTCCAAATGACTATTAAACTCCTAAATCAATATGACGTGCATTCAACGAACAACAAGGATGTAATTGAATTCAATATCGGTGATTACATATTTGGAATGGAGAAGGTCATTGGTTTAACACRTGATGACATCATGCAATACTGCGAAATGATTCAAATAGGCTATATGTGTATGCTCACGTGCATCCGTAAGTATATTAAATCTATTTCATATCTTAACGTCGCTAACTATGAAGTTTAATGTTTTACAATTATATGTTTAGATATCTTTGGAATGAATGTGAGGAGAAGACACATAAGAAGTTCTTGATGGTTGACCCTGACAACATTGTACCACAAATTATGTCTTAAGAAACTTGTTCTAGACATCTAGCCAACAAGTAAACATGAGTAACTTGGAACAAGTAGTACTCATCCACATAACCGCAGGTAAGCTAGCAATTTAACTTGATTTTACTTATTTACAGTTTCTTTAATCCATCCATGAATGTAATATTATCATGTTGATTATTAATAGTTTTCACTGAAGGTTGTTTGTTATACATCTTCGAGAGAATTGTGTTTATGTATTGGACTCTCTAGGAAGTAAGATTGAAGAAAATTATAAGGAATCATAAACACGTAAGTGCCTTGAACTCTTTTAGTTATAATTTTTATAATTATGTCATTGTAATATTTCAAGTTATTTAGATCATTGAAAATGTGGCAAGCCAAACACTCTATTTAACATTGTCACAGTACTACAATTTGGAAACTTGTGAAKGAAATTTGCATTTAATTACATTTTAAATATGCTCAAATTTGCATTGAAATCTTTTGTTAACTCATAATTATGTTATTTTTCAAATTTTYTATATGTAGTGTCTTCGTCAACTAGGTTCTATCGAGTGTGGGTACTATTTGTAAAATTATATACGAGAAATAGTGCGGAACCCTAATACTCCCATAACTGAACTTGTACGTATTATCATATACCTTTATGTGTTTATATATGCTTTATCCTTATATTAATCAGTATTATCTTTCTTTTTTTTGTAGTTTAATACAAAAAATGCCTACAAACAAGAAGAAATCGACSAAGTTCGAATAGAATGGACATCATTTGTTGGACGATTTGTGTAGTACCTATGGATTCATTACTTTTGTTTATTTGATGTAAGTATTTTGTTCGGGTTACTTTCTGTAGTAGTACTTAGTAGATTTGTAGTACTTAGTAGATTTGAAATACTTGGTCTTGTTTATAATATATAGAACTTTGGATTGTTATGCTGAATGTAGTTTTGTTGGAGGGACGGGCGGCCCCATTTGTTTCTGTGTGGAAGAGTGTTAATATATAGAAGTGTTGGTTGTTGTTGAATGTAGTATATTATTGCTTTCCAAGTTAATTCTGAGTTATTCTAAAGTAGAGAGGTCATGTTGAATTTGTACTTGTTTGATCAACTCTTAAATAATTGTGTTTTTAGTTTAAGGTTAGTTTTTGAGTTAAGTTTTAGAATAGATCATGGTGTTGAAATTAGTTTTAGTTGCAAATTATGTTTTCAGTTTCAATAATATTGAGATCTTATTTTGTGTCAATAAGTTGGAAGGAGATATAATAGTTGGTTAGTTTTGAGTTCTATTTTAAACTGGGGAGGTCATGTTGAAATTTGTATTTTTTTTTATTGTTTGTGTTTTGAATCTAAAGGTTAGTTTTTGAGTTAAGTTTTTCGAATAGATCATGATGTTGAAATAGTTAAGTTTTAGTTGCATATTAGTTTTTGAGTTGCAATAATATTGAGATATTATTTTGCGTGATTAGGTTGGAAGGAGATATATGGTTAGGGTTAGTATTGAGTTATATATTCTAAAGTGGAGAGGTCATGTTGAAATTTGTACTTTATATTATTTGTGTGTTTTGAGTCTAAGGTGAAATATTATCATAAGTCTGAAGGAAATATAGTTGGTTAGTCACGTCTCGGCAAACAATTATTTTTTTAATTAAATTATTCATGAAATAATGACGGTCAATGTCTGTCATGAAATATAGTCATTCCATGATGCACGAGACGTAGATACAATGACGTACAAACAATGACGTTCACACGATGACGACAAACAATGACGCACAAACGGTGACGTATAAACAATGTCGCACATATAATGACTGGCAAAAAYTGCCATGCAAAATTAAACAAAACAAGGACACTCATAACGATGTCGGTCACCGCCCGTCATTGTTATCCTTCCATGACGGGCATGTCCGTCATGGAAAAGAAGATTTACATGACGGGCAATGTCCAACATTAAAACTGTCCGTCATTGAAAGGAAATAAGGACACTCGCATAGATGTCAGTCACTGACCAACATGGTTACTCGTTAGTGACGRGCAATGCCCGTCATGAAAAGCTGAATTTGTTGTAGTTGGTAGAGTCCATTARCAATCTTTCCTTTATAGAGAGTATTTCCAGTAACCTTATCCTGAATGAGGAACCAGTCAGAGTCAAATACAAAAATGCAATGATTATGAAGACAAAATTTATGAATTGAAAGAAGATTTGAGGCTAAATTAGAAGCATGAAGCACATTAGAAAGAGTAAATGTGTGCGAGGATGTAGAAAGTATACCACAGCCTGTGTGTGTAATGTTTGAAGGTTGTCCATAGCCAACTGTGACTGATTTCTCTCCATTGTAAGAATCAGTTAGATTCAAATTGGCTAAATCATTGGTCGCATGTGTAACGTCTTGGCGTTTTGAGTTGTGCAACCAGTCAACTTTCAAGGACGAAAGTTTTTTCAAAGGTGGGTAGTCTATAACGTCTCACGTTCTATGGCTCGTTTATTTTAAGAATTAAATTGTGCGTTTAGATTTTTCCCCTAAGTGGATAATTTAAATTCTTGGGATCTCTTAATTTGGAGTTATATTTTTTGGTAAACCAGGATTGAGTTTAATTTCGTTGCACTAAGGTAAMTTTAGTTTTCTAATTTTGGAAGAGATTTTAATTAAATCTTATTCTAAGAATTTGGAAATTTAATTTCCTTTTGGTTTATTGTTGTGTTCGAAGCATAAGTTAATCTCTTAATTTATTTTCCAAATTCTTTTAAGTGGGTCTTATTTTGAGAAAAGGATTAAGAAGAATATACCTTTTTTTTTTT